GGGGGCCGGCGTCCCGGTGCCACAGCCGTCAAAGAAATGACGGCCCGAACTGCCCCCCCCGCCCCCCGGAGGGGAAAAGCGATTTAGGAGTGAAGCTGAACGCCCGAAATAGTGCCCCGGCCAGGTTAACTGCTTCGCTGTAGAAATGAGCTGGAGTTTGAGTGCTCGGTATCGCTTACGCTGCCTAAACGTTGAAACTGAAAGGACCGACGGCGAGGCGGGGAGCTGTGGGTTGAGTGAATAGGTTCGGTTAATTACTCCTTTTAACTGAACCTCTGGGCTCAGTAAAGCCGAGTCGGTGTGGCTTTCTCGGGTAACCCCGTGGCTGGGGTATGCTGTCAGTACATAAAGCGGTCCTCCAACTTAAGGCAGAAGTGTTGCTATGCTGCAAATACAGTAGAGCCCCATATGTTTAGGATTTTCTTTTTTTTTTTTCCTCCCTGTTAGAAAGTTTGAAAAAAAGAGACTTTGAAGTATTTTGTTTATACTAACAGAAGAGAAAAGTTCTCCTAAGAAAAAGCTGGTGGCAGGAGTGTAGAGGAGTAGCATATGGCATTAAAAGGAGCACAGCTGGAGGTAGCATTTCCATCTGAACATGATGTCAGAGCAGCTGACAGCCTGCCATCCCTCAGCCTTTTATTCTAACACACAGACAGGGAGTTAGTGTGTGCAGATCTGTGTGTGGAGAAGGTATCTCATTCCTCTCTAACATCATCTCCACTTTGCATCTGTCTCTCCTAGTCTGCTTTTTTTCCACCGATCTAACAGACCTGGAGCCAGCAAGACTCAGAGGAAAGGACTTAATCAGGTTTATGTGTACTAAAGGTAGGAGTAGCAATAGATTAGATACAGCATATTTCTGTTTTGGTGTGTTGTTTATTGAATTTCAGAAAAAAAATCACATTACTTTTCTAACCAAGTTTAGAGGTAATATATGAAATTGAGTATTAAATAGACAAGTGGACTTACTCAGAAGGCTTGGGCTACAGTTGGAGAATATCAGTTCTCGGGCACATTGTTAGCATTAACTTTAATGCATATAGTGAGAATGTCTTGGTTTGGAAGAAGGAGAGAGCAAGTTCATTCTTCATTTCTGAGACCAAAACTGCAATGGATTTAGTGGCAAGCCTAAGGAGAGTTCTGCTTTATGTTCTTGTATTGCATCTTTTAAATGACTTTACGGGGGTTTTAGGGAAATATACAAAAGTGTGCTTTTTTTTTTTTAAAAAAAAAAAAAAGGACCGTTCTGGCTAAAATGTGTTTGTGGGGAAGTCTTTCATTAAACTTCACGGTTAAATATCCAGCAGCTCAGAACTGTAGTAGCATACAGCTGTAGTGCTTCTGAAAGATAGAAATCAGCTATGTGTTTAAAAACTTTTGTACCCGGGAGAATGGCTTGACTGGTTTCCTCTTTTCTTTCTCGCGTGTAGCATTTGAAATCTTTTATTTCAGCATAACAATAATTATTTGAAGGAGTTTTTGTATTTGCGACTAATTTAGAACTTGTAGATTTGAGCTGCCTGAATTGGCCAGACAGCTGTAATCGCACTCCTCTATTCTTAATCTCTTTATCTGGGCAGCAGCTGCCATATGGCCACAGTCAGCTGGATCAGATGTTTATAAGCTTCCTTCTTCGTCCCTCTCTGTCCTTTCAGCCTCCTAATTTGATCACAGCTACCTTGTGAGCTGCCCTCCAATCTTTATTTTTAGCCCTCTTAAGGATTAGGATTGATGTTGGCTGTGGGGCACTTAAAGTGATTGTATTGTAAATCTTCGTGCTTTACTCTAGCAATGGTATTTTACAGAATGTAGTAGGGGTTGTGTTGTAAGTTTTAGTACATCTTGGTTTGCGAGGGATGAGGATTTTTCAGTAATATCTGCCAGCCTAGAGAGCCACGATCTGCTTAGATGGTTTGGGAGAGCATTGCTATCAATCACAGAAGAATAGATTAAGACAGGTTTTTAAAAGATTTTACCTTCCATATGAGTTTTGACTTCTCTACTTCTTTAAGTTTAATTTTTCTTTATCATCAAAGAAGGTGAATAGAAAAATACTTGGGTAAGAACAGTACTCAGGATACTGATTTTAAATATGCACCCCTTCCCTCTTTTAAAGGTTTTTTTTTTTTTTTTTTTTTTTTTTTTTTAAGTTTGGTACTGCAAACTCTGCCTGGTGTGGGAGGGGAGGGAAATTTCTGTCCTGCATAGGGGAAGCAGTGCTCGTTGGCATTTTGGTTGTTAGTTTCTTTTGTAAATTCTGCATGTTGGCACAAAATGTTCATGTTCTATTGTACAGTATGGAGAAGGTTTAAAACCTGAAACTGTACTTATTACAAGAAGAAAACCAGATGAACTAAATTTCTAAAAACCTTGATTTTGCTGTCAATATAAATTGACACCCGTAAATAATTTTTATACTTTATGAATGTTAGACCTTCAGATTTGGGTATATGAGCATTTCTTCATGCGCGAACCTCTCCTCTTGCTACAATTTGACTTTAAAAAGAAGGTTGATGATCTGATTTTTTTGTTTTGTTTTTTTTGTTTTTTTGTTCTCCCTCTGTGATCTCTCAAACTTAGTGTTAAAAAAAAAAAATTCTTTTTGTGGGTCTGCCCTCCTAGGGATGCAATCTGGAGGAAGTTCCCCCCCAAAAAATAACTGTGGAACAGATTTTATGAACAGCAGTGATACTTCCAAGAAAATTACAAATGTACCTATGCGCTTATTAGAACGGCTTGTTTACCATGGAAAGGAAATCGTAACTTCAGTGGTTGATCGGGGAAAGAGTTGCCATCATACATGCGTGTTAAATAATCTTTGCATGGTGTCAGTACCAGAACTCTGGCAACATAAATACGAGGTTTTTAGAGTGGAATAACTTGGATTCATAAGTTCTGTGATTCCGACCTACATTTAATTTTTTAAAATCTCATTGCTTATAGGTTATGAAGACAGTATGGAGTTTCCTGACCACAGTAGACATTTGCTACAGTGTCTGAGTGAGCAGAGACATCAGGGTTTTCTTTGTGATTGCACTGTTCTGGTAGGAGATGCCCAGTTCCGAGCACACAGAGCTGTACTGGCTTCATGCAGCATGTATTTCCACCTCTTTTACAAGGACCAGCTGGACAAAAGGGACATTGTTCATCTGAACAGCGACATTGTTACAGCCCCAGCTTTCGCTCTCCTGCTTGAATTCATGTACGAAGGAAAGCTCCAGTTCAAAGACTTGCCCATTGAAGACGTGCTAGCAGCTGCCAGTTATCTCCACATGTATGATATTGTCAAAGTCTGCAAAAAGAAGCTGAAAGAGAAAGCAACCACGGAGGCAGACAGTACAAAAAAGGAGGAAGACGCCTCAAGTTGTTCAGACAAAGTGGAGAGCCTCTCCGACGGCAGCAGCCACATGCCAGGAGACTTGCCCAGCGATGAAGATGACGGAGAAGATGAAAAATTGAACATCCTGCCTAGCAAAAGGGACTTGGCGGCTGAGCCTGGGAACATGTGGATGAGATTGCCCTCAGACTCAGCAGGCATTCCCCAGACTGGCGGAGAGGCAGAGACGCACGCAGCAGCAGCTGGAAAAACAGTAGCCAGCCCCTGCAGCTCAACAGAGTCTTTGTCCCAGAGGTCTGTCACCTCCGTGAGGGATTCAGCAGATGTTGACTGCGTGCTGGACCTGTCTGTCAAGTCCAGCCTTTCAGGAGTTGAAAATTTGAACAGTTCTTATTTCTCTTCGCAGGACATGCTTAGAAGCAGCCTGGTTCAGGTGAAGGTGGAGAAAGAGGCTTCCTGTGATGAGAGTGATGTTGGCACTAATGACTATGATATGGAACATAGCACTGTGAAAGAAAGTGTGAGCACTAATAACAGGGTACAGTATGAGCCGGCCCACCTGGCTCCGATGAGGGAAGATTCGGTCTTGAGGGAGCTAGATAGAGAGGACAAAGCAAGCGATGATGAAATGATAACTCCAGAGAATGAGAGAGTCCAGGTGGAAGGAAACATGGACAGCAGCTTGCTCCCTTACGTGTCAAACATACTTAGCCCCGCTGGCCAAATTTTCATGTGTCCTCTCTGCAACAAGGTCTTTCCTAGCCCCCACATCCTGCAGATCCATTTAAGCACGCACTTTCGAGAGCAGGACGGGATCCGCAGCAAGCCTGCTACTGATGTCAATGTCCCGACCTGCTCGTTGTGTGGTAAGACTTTTTCTTGCATGTACACCTTGAAACGTCATGAGAGGACTCATTCAGGTGAAAAGCCCTACACTTGCACCCAGTGTGGGAAGAGCTTCCAGTACTCCCACAACCTGAGCCGCCACGCAGTGGTTCACACGCGGGAGAAGCCTCATGCTTGTAAGTGGTGTGAACGCAGGTTCACGCAGTCCGGAGACCTTTACAGACACATTCGGAAGTTTCACTGTGAGTTGGTGAACTCATTGTCTGTCAAAAGCGAAGCACTGAGCTTACCTACTGTCAGAGACTGGACCTTAGAAGATAGCTCACAAGAACTTTGGAAATAAAATTTTTATATATATAAATAATATATATATAAATCTATATAGTTGTGGTACAGTCTAAAAGCAATCTTGTTTCCTTGAACTGAAAGTTTGGCTATTAGCTTGTTTTTGCACTTTAAGGCAGCATGAATATTTCACTAATTTAGCACTCCGATAAAAATGAACTGTAGAGGTAATCCGACAAAGTAACAAATTACGGAGCGTATTTTTCCCCCTTTTCGGAATAGAAGCCAGCGGATACTTTACTTCTAAGGAATCTCCAATTCAAAAAATTTGGATGTGGCTTTATTCTCCCCAAAACACTGCGTTCTGTTAAGCTCTCGATCTTTTTCCTCTTAAAATCTGAATGTAGAGATCCTCTCCCAATTTTGTCAGTTCCTTTACATTTCTATAATTGCATGAGTCCTTTCTAGCTGTTGGAAACCTGAATGCTTTTAGACCCAAATGGAAAATTTCTGAAATGCTGGATTATCTATTTTTAAACAAGCGGTTGACTTAAAACTTATTATGGCAACTTCTGGATTTCTGACAGTTCCCACTGGAAAAAAACAAAACAAAACAAAAAAACAACACAAAAACATAAAACAAAAACCCTGAGAGTACACTGGGATCACTGGGACTCTGTCTTACGTGAAGGTTTGCTTGGGATGAAAAAGGATATTGCAGCTTCAGCAGTGATGAACTGTGTGTTTAAAAAATGTGAATTACTGTTATTGTATACTGTAATTGATTACATGGGCCGGGGGGAGGTATCAAAGAACTTGGCAGGTTGTGTTGATGCTCTTAGTTGAGTCTTGAAAAGTAAATATTAACGCTACAGAAATGCATGATTTTCAGTATATTTTTGTCTTTGTTTGCATTGTATAACTTTAACGAGTGAGTTGAAAATTATTTAATTTCCTTAGGAAAAAAAACCGACACCGTTGAAAATGCCGGTGTTACGAAGAAGAGAAATGCACTGTTTTTATTTTATCTAATTTAAATTTACTTTCCCACTGTCTTTAAGTTGAGAAGAACTTAAGCTACGAGTCGCCGATTTAGCTACGTTAACAAGGAAAAAAAAAAAAATGAGTGTTTACAACCAGGCTTCGAGATTTGCATGTGCGGTGTGCATTTACTAACCCCAGACCCCTTCTAATTGCACAGACCCCACGCCAGCTCCAGCTGAGGTGCGTCCATTTCCCCAGATGAGCATTTGTAGGATTCCTGCTGCACCGCTCCACCACAATAGGTCGTTCTTTTTTTTCCCCCCGTTGAAAAGAGGCTGTGGACTGAAAAAAAAAGGAAAAAAAGCCCCGGGCTGAAAGGCCTGGGAAGGCCTGAGTGACAGGGGGGCCGGGGGAGGGCAGGGGAAGGACTATGTGTATCCAAGCAGCAGAGACTGCAGCCTGACGTGTGGTTTTAATGACCAACACGCAGGTCAAAAGCATTTTGCACAGTGTTTGTTTTCCTGTCTTGCACTTACAAATAAGGTCTATGGGAGTAGCATGGAAAACGTTTGCTGTTTTTTCCTTTTTTTTTTTTCTTTTTTTTTTTCCTCTGCTTTTGTTTAAAATTTGATCGCCTTAACTACTGTAAACATAGCCTATTTTTGTGCTTAAGATACTGAATGGAAAACTCCATTGTGTATTGCTGGACTGTTTTGGAAATATTTGGTCAAATGTGTGTTAATTTGGCTGTAATGGCATTTAAAACAAAAAAAAAGCTGTGAAAATGGCCTTGGAGCGTTATCTTTAGTTACTTGAATAGTTTCTAGGTTTTAAAACTACATTCTTTTCTTAAGTTAGAGAAGACAATCAGTGTCTGAGGAAAATGGACTTTCTCTTGGATTTTTTTGTGGTCCTCGTGAGTGATTGCTTTTTTCCTTTCCTTAGTTTCACATTCTTCTTTTGTTCTAAAACTTAGACTGACATCTAGCTTTGACAATCATAGTATGTTTTATTTTCCTGAGGGGGGAATAACTTATAATGCTGTTTAGTTTTGTACTATTGGTGTGTTGGTGAATTTTTAAACTGTGTGCTAACTGCAATAAATTATATGAACTGAGAAATCAATTCCCTTGTCTTTTTTCCCTCTTTTAAATTATAGTTACGGAGTATTTTTTATAATGTGTAACTTTATTACTTTTGTACAGACTTCTATTGCTAACTGTGTATGGAATATGTTTTCAGTATGCTTTTGAGCACTTTGTTGCTAACGTACATATTTACATCTCACTTAACATTTAAAAAAAAATTAAATGCTTGTGTTTTGAAAGCATTTCTCTGTGTGTAGCTCTCGATCATTCTGTAGAGGGATTTTATTATTATTATTTTTTTTCTTCCCCAAAGACTTTTGCAGAAGCAATCTATTAACTTCCAGAAATTTTGCTACCCTGCAACTATCTATGCAGACACACAATTCCTTTTCTGGGCTTAATTTCACCCCAAGGAGCTCTCTCGGGCTCACTCTTTTGTATTCAGTCTCTATCAGAACATCGGAGCAGAAGACAACAACTTAATCTGAAGCACTGACTGGCTGTCAGCGTTACAGTAGGCAGTCAAAATGTCCAAAATATCGGTAATATATCAAAACTGTCTGGACCACAGAGGAAAATTGAAATAATCCTACGTCTGTTTGGGGATTTCTCTTACGGACTAAATGTTTCTTAAAAAAAAAAAAAAATAAAAGGAAGCGTAGCGAAACCTTTGAAAAAGACCTGGTTTAGATGCTTGCTGCAGGATATACCCAGAATTCTTGTTTGAGGCAGCTCCATCCTAGGAACGAGACCAGCACTGCAGAGCCCAATGGGAATATGAAAGTAGAGCTAAATTAGAAGTCTGGAACAGAGACAGCAGGAGCAATTTGAAGGGGGGGGGGGGGGAATCTGAATCTAAACATTTCATTACATTTGTCATCTGCCTAGGTACAACTGAAGTTGTACCTTGACCAAGTGAATCTCAATGCCTAATGCTATTCTGCTTATTTTCCTATCTCTGTGGTAATTTGTACTTAGCCAAAATGAACTTTTTCACTGTTTTATTCTTTATAACAATTTTCAGTCATCATTTGCTGGGGGGGGGGGTTGAGTTATTACAAATACTTTGAAAACATTTCCTTTTGTCAATGTTAGCGTCTTCAGCCGCATAGTTTCCTCTTTTTTCTAGCAGCAGACGTTTTCTGTAGGCTTTCATATGATAGAATATTATGTGTAGTTAAGATGGTTTAAAGTATTGTCAAGACTGAAAAACGCCTAATACTGCAGTTCTGAAATCTGTGCAGCTGACGAGCTTTGGATGTGACTCTAGGCAGATTCACCATTTGTTCTACAACATTAAGATTTTCAAGGATTGTAGATTCCCAAATAAAACCAGGCTTAGAAGGAGCCCTTCTTCAGAAGGGTACAGAAAAAGTAACTTAGGCATTAATGACAAAATAATTCAAAATATCCTTTATACTTTCAGGTTTTACCTAGATGGTCTATACATGTGCAGCACACGCTTGCTTGTGGCTATCAAAAGTGTTTCTTCAATGAAAAGATGAAACTTACTCCTATGTGTTGCTTCTCTCCATAAGGTTTAATGTACTGACATATCTAAATAGCTGTAACTTTTTTTTTTTTTTAAATACAGTCCCTAGATAATGACGCATGAGAGAACATTTTATTTGGCTTAAGGCTATGTGGTAACAAAATGATGGTTGAAGGCAAGTTGCAGGAATGGAAACTGTATGCTCTAAACTTTGCAGGTTCAGAAGACCTTCTCTGACCGGTGGTAGTCATTACTTTTTAACTGAATACTTCTAGCCCAAGACTCACAGGGAACATGCTACATATATCATGTGGCTATTTTTTTAACCACTGCCTGTGATGATAGCTTAATATTCTTTAATTATGAATGATTTCTCTAAACTCAAGCTTAGGGGTTTGGTGTAACAGAGACTTTTGAATCAGGTATAGCATTTTACAGACCATCTACTTACTGAGACCTTTGCATGTTTTAGGTGTGATTTGAAGAAGAACTGGGTAGGAGTTTAAAATGAAACTTTCTGGCCAAGGAAAGGAAGGGATCCTCATTGCTTTTTGCTGCTCTCCTGCATTAGGGTAAAAGTGAACACCAAACAATCCCATATACTTCTGCTGAGCCTAAATGAACCCAGCACATCCCTTCAAAACATGCATCGTCTTGTAGGAAGCCTAAATAAAATGTTAAAATTAATTTGCAAAGGGGCAGGTTCCCTTTTCCCCCTGTGCTACCTCAGCCCTGCAGCCGTGCTGGCTCACCTGCTCGGGGGGACACCACCATTTTCTGTCCCTGCAGCAGCACACCCTCTGCTTGCCTTCTGCAGGTGATGGATCAAGTGATTCTTCGGCCGTGGACTGTCTCCCCCCCCTCCCCCCAATTCTACAATAATCAAATGTTCTAACTTTTTAATGGACTCCTAATATATAACTTCTAAAATACGTTTTTCCAGCTGACTTTCAAAAATGAAACCCCGAACCCCCATTTTATGTTCAACGATGCTGTAGCAATTTGCAGCTGAGGAGAACTTGGAAGGGGAGAAAATCTCTACCTGCTCGCTCCCCTCACTTTGAAGCAATGCAAATTCCTTCAGAATGAAGGTGAAATACGTTTCAAGTATTAGCCTAAAATTAGAAAGCCGATTCTAAAATACTATCATGTAGTCCTCTGTAGCAGCGTTCTCAAACTTACACATTATTAACATTATTTGTCCATGTGATTTCCAAACGGAAATATTTCCAGAGAATATAGGCTTTTATTAAAGAAATCTAACCAAAGCATTAAGGTTTTTCTACTGGGGTGGTAAATGTGAGTCTCAACAGAACTGTCTGATATTTTTAAATGGAGGAGTAAGTGATGCACAAATCACCTGGGCTCTTTCAAAATATTTTAGTTCAGGAGTCCTTGTTTAAGTTCTTTTGCGCTTCACTCATATTTTAATCATGTCATTAAATATAGTAAGTTTGGTAATAAAAAATATTTTCTAGATGGTAAGAGAGGAGTTCTTTCTTTATTGGTATGAATGCTTTTGGGCAGAAGGTGGAAATGTTCCCTTTTGCCGGCACATGAAGATAGTCACAGGAAGAGCCCTGCTTATTAAAACCTACAGCCGGCAGCTCCTGCTAGTGTGATAAAATTCAGCTAAACCTGTTAATGGGTCTTACCGATGAGAGATTACATCCTTTTGGGAAAGATTATCCATTTTAGTCTCATAAGCTAAAAAAGCAGTGTGACTTTTAACTGATTGTCAAATCAAAATGCTCTCGGTGCAAATAACACGCAGCTTCCCCAGCTCTGCCAAAGCACGAGAGGGGTGAGTCTTCTGCACAGCCAGGCAGCAGTAAAGCCAAAGGTGCTACAGGCTTAACTGAGAGTGACGGCAAATGCTGCAGAGGTTTCGAGTGATAGAGTTGTTTGCAAAAAAAAAAGTGGTTTTCTTTTTTTTTTTTTTTTCCAGAAATAATCCATGTTTGACCTGGAGTATTTCTCTTATATTGCAATTTCTTGGGTTAGTTAATTTTTCCAGCTAACGGAACTTGCCTAGGTTGTCTGCTTATAATCTTCAGGTTCATTTTGCTTTAATTTAGTTTCTTACTTACAGGATTTTTTCCTTTGAAGACAGTCACTCCACTAATACACCATCGTCTTTGTGCAGAACATACAGAGTTTTCAATCTTGAGAACTCCTTAACATTAACCATTTCTAGCAGGGGGCCACGAGCACTCACCCCTGTGCGAAAACGCTCCCTTTGCTGGGACAGACTTTGTGCCTCCTGTACCACGGCTGTTACTGCGGGGCCAAATTCTCCGTTCTTTTTGAGCTTTTACAGCCTGGCTCTAACAAGCTTTTGCTTGGGGCTAAAAGGGAGAGCGTATGCAGTCTAGCCTTGGAGCTGAAATTTCCATGTGATCGGGGATTTTTGGGATTGCAGGAAATAAATAAATGATTAATTGCGAAGTACAGCTGGTGATTATTTTTTAGGATGTTTTAATGTGTAGTGTTTTGGTATTTCTTAACTCAGCATTGTGCTTTAAAATGCATATTGTGTATGAACATATGTGTGTGTGTGCATGAGGAAGTACTCTAAAATAACTTGCTAATTTTTATTTAGGTGTGCATCAAAAATCACAGCCTCAGTTATTCCTTAAAGACCTTTAGAAGATGTGTTTAGTGTTCGTATGTAGCAGCCAACATGACATGGTCTTGTGCAACCTATTGCTTGTGATTCCTGCAGTTATCAGTGCTCATCTGAGCACCAAGAAGGATTTTTTTATGCCACGTCCGGAACATGCCAGATAGGGATTTACACAGCACATCCCCAGCCATTACAACCCAGTGCATGAAAACCAGCTTTAAATTAGTAAAATATTTAGAGAGCAAGTTACATGTACAGCATGACTTCCGAAAGGATTTAACTGGTAAAGCAATATGTTACTGCCTCAGTACTACAGGAGGTATATTAAAAGGCTTAACTGTCTCAAAACAGCTCTATGGCATGGTATACGCTGTATCTGGATGTAAATCTAGATAGGGATTTAAATATTTCTTTCACAACCTTCCCGAAATACGTTTTGGTTAAGTCTTATTTACAGCTATTAACAAAATAAAAACTACCCTCGATGCTACATTTTAGGCTTTTGTCAAATTGTCTTCAATTTTAGCATTAAAGCTACTTTTTATAAACTTTTGGATGTGTTCCCAATATACATTTTACAATTTTAAAAATGTACTTTATCTATAAATAAACCCCCTTGAAACTGATAGAGGTTTATCATACAAGATATGATTTATTTTCAACTGCATTTGCCACGTATTCGCACTTAGTAAGGATTCATGTTGAGATAATTTTGGAAATTCATACGAAGATAAAATATAGTTAAAATCTTAATGAAACATATCCCATCTTCATAGGCTATAGCTATCAGGTCTTCATTTCCTGGAGCTTATTCTCCCTTTTTAAAGTAGTTTGACTGGCACTGTCTATCCAGAATCTGATTTCTGTTCGTAGGTGATTTTCAGGCTTATATATATGACGGGTTGAAAACACTATAAATACCAATATTTCTTTATTTTCAGATGACTGAGTGACTTTTAAGAAGATCTGTGTCTTAATGAGCTGAAACTAACTAAGCAATTCTTAATTTGGGGGAAAATGGAGAGTCATACATCTCTGTATTCATTATGAGGACGTAATTTAATGAGCACACGAATGCTGGGCTCCCTGTTGACAGACAGACCAACGTACCTCGGCAAATG